CTTTCAACCTGCTGCAGGTCTTATTATCATGCTTCAGAAAAAATACTTAGAAAAATAAATAGGCAAGCCTGAAGTTCTGATATTTTCCTTAATGGTATTGTTGCTATAGTTACAGCTGAAATGTTATATAAAGCAAATTGCTTATTGATAGAAAAATGCTGAGTAGCACAGCAGCATCCCTTTTTTGAGTAAAACTGCCTTCATTTCCTACTCTCCTCTTAAGATTAAATCGTTTTTTAGAGTGTTGTTTTGAAGCCCTGATGATTTGATGTTAAAATAAATGTATTTTATTAACATGTACTAGTTGGCAAATGGATATATTTTAATAGATTGTGATCAACATGGAGCTATTTTTTATATACTTATATCAGAATTCTTCCTATTTGGATGTGAATTTTGATATCCTGGATATTAACATTAAGGCACTAAAAAAATGTGATTGGTTTCATAGTATAAATATATATAAATGATATATATATAAATACATTCTTCTGATCTAATACATTTAATAATATAGATGAAATATAAACTTTCATTATATTTATGCCATTAGAAGTTACTTACAGTATACTGGAAATAAAATATATTTTTAAAACACAGGACTCCAAATGGAAATGGTCTGAGAGCATTCATAACAATGACTAGTATATTTTTAAAAAGCCTCCATAGGATCTATTTGTTCTATTTGCCTATTTAATAAACTCAGTCATATAATAGAAAATGCCTTCAATTTATACACATATATAATATACAATACATAATATTATATATAGTATACATTTTCTGATTGTCTCACTGTCTTTATAAGGAAATAACTCAGAGATAAAACCGTAACATTTGTTATTTCACCTTAAGGCAAAATATGATTAGTCATGTGTGTCACAACTGTAACTGTTATAGAAAGAGTTAATTCTATGTCTGGCAAAATCTTTTCAGCTATTAAAAGTCGTATGTGGCAGTGATATATTATAAATTTTAATATAATTTTAGAAATCTTGCTTAATTCTTCAGATTGCTATTGAACTAGAAACATGAGTATTAAATAATGTTGTGTCTAATAATGTGTGGCTATTGAGAAACTAAGATTGTAGGTACGTATTTTTGAACCCAGAAAATTAATACTTCTTAATTAGGTTCCTGAATACAGTGATTTAAAAAAAGTCTTTGGGATTATTTGTGATTTAAAAAAAGCAAACAAATAATAATTGTGAAAAACAGATTTTTACATTTTCTTATGTGGTTGTATTTTTCCAAATTTTTAATAGAAAAGTTTTCTAGTAATTGTGTTTATATTTGATGATGATGTGAATAATGATGACCTGTATTGTCCTAAATGAATTTTCTTGTGAAAATTAGTTTTTACTCATTTTCTTTGTCAGAATTTGATCACTTTTGCTTTTCTCATTTCTAGTTTGGATTTTACCCTAATCTCTGCCTTTTCCTATCTTTTCTTTTAATAAAGTTTAAATTTACACGTTTAAAGAAATATATAATTTTTGATGCAACTAATAGTGTTTTTTTTTTTCTTTTCAATCCTTTATTGAATTTATAACTTCCTCTGCTTGCTGAATTTTTTGGTATTCTAATTTGGGTTCTAAGGGCTTCCCTGGTGGCTCAGAGGTAAAGAATCCGCCTGCCACTGCAGGAGACACGGGTTCAATCCCCAGGTTGGGAAGATCCCAACCTGGAAAAGGAAATCGCAACTCACTCCAGTATTCGTGCCTGGGAAATCCCATGGATAGAGGAGCCTGGTGAGCTATAGTCCATGGGGTCGCAAAGAGTGACACAACTTAGCAACTAAACAACAATCTGAGTTCTAGGGCTGCAAAAAGAAGAGACACACATGTGAGACCACCAGTTCAACATTTCTAATTGGTGAAAAATTACTCTGTGTGATTTATAATTTATCAAATTCCTTATGTTGTAAATGAATTCATCAGATAATCCTTTTAAACCATAGTATCCTCTCCATCTTCCTTAGTTTTTTTCCCCTGCATATTATAGTTATATTTAACCCATATCTTCTTTCTTCTACTTGAGTGTGAGTTCATGATTGAATAATGCTTGCACATATAATTTCCCCAGGGTATGTGTACTCCACAGATAAAAATAGACTGGATATCTACAGAATAGATATGTAAGTGAATGCTGTTGTCATAATTATTTGACATAATACTAGCATCAGTTTCCAAATTGATTTTGGTGACAAAGTGTAAGTTAAAAAAACATGAGCTTGGCCTTATGATATTCTTCAAAATGCAAATCAATCATGTAACCAAGAGACCAAGTGTAGCAATATCATGTTAAAATTAATTACAGACAGTAACAATTAAAGATACTGGGTTTAGGGAATTCCCTTACAGTCCAGTGGTTAGCATTCCGTGCTTTCACTGCAGAAGGCCCAAGTTCAAGTCTTGGTCAGAGAACAGACCTCACAAGCTGCATGAACAGGCCAAAAAACAAAAAAGATACTAGTTTTAACTGAATTGGGATGAGAATTTGAGCAAAACAGAGATTTAAACCAACCAATGAGGCTCTCGACATAGGTCATTTTTCCCTTAGACTAGTACTACTGCCTTCTCTTTGCCTTTGATTTTAGTAGGGGTGGGTTATCACTACTTTTAGGTTTATCAAACATTTTAAATCAGGAAAACTTTATGTGACATAGTAGATTAAATAGCTGAAACCCTTTATCCTCTTACCTAAATTTTCAGATGTATGAAAATAATGAATATACTACCTTGAAATAATCACTCTGTTTTCTCAACAGATTTTCCTTTTGAGAGCTGTGTACAATTTTGTTATCACATGCTATTAATATAACTGCTAAGAGCTGTCAACTTTGTAAGAATAATTTGTCCCTAAAACTTAGATAAAGTTATCATGCTTTTATAATATTGATAAGAATTTCCAAACATTTATTTCTGGAATGTTAAAAACTTCCTAACTTATTTACATTTGGACCTGCCCTGATAAGAATGCATAGCACACGCCTGCATTTGGCTTTTAGAATCCATATGACAAAACAGCACAATGGCACAGCTATTTGTGTCTATTTTTGTTTTTTAAAATGTCAGTTTCTGAATGAAAATATTGTAAGATATGACCGCACCTAGGAGTGGTTTTTAAAACCACAACACTGATTAAGATTGATTTTCTGTTGACGTTAAGGAAGTACCCCCTCTAGGGACTCTTCGAGACAAGAGCTGGAACTTTTAGAATTGGACATAAGGATCAAATCAGTTTCTTTCCTGAGACTTTGTATAAAGTTACTATATAGAGAAGCCACAACTCACTTTATTGCTGCTTAGACTTGAAATTAAGAAAGGAATTGGTACTGGATGATCATAACGCACAAAGTGACCCATAATACATACTAATGTCCTATAGACAGCATTTTATCTGAAATTAAATAACTGACTCAGGTCCTTACTGTTTTAGATAATCAAGTAAGAATTATGACAGCATACAAGTTGCAAAACAGTCATTATTATTAAGCAACATTTTTGTTTCTTTAAAGAAATTGAAAACTGAAGAAATGAATCTTAGTTGTCTAACAGTATTCTAGGACAATAAGTGATTTTTGTCTCTAAGTAATTGAAGTTATGCTACTGGAAAGAATGATCCAATATGAAGAGCAATTTGAAATTACCTCTCAGAAAACAGTACAACAAACAATTACAATATTGTTTGCATGACTTTCCAACTGTGTACTTTAAAGGATAGGCATTCATTAAATGGTAACAGTTAGAAGCTACATGTATAACCTTAATTTCTTACCTTTTAATAGGTATAATGTAAGAAAAAGCACACCATACATCAATAAGGAGGAAATTCTGCAACATTATTGGTCTAACAATCTCTCTCCCATGTGATCATTTATGTGTGCTATTAGAGGATAGTTCTCAGTCTTTAATTTGCAAAAGAATTCACCAAGAGGTTATTTAAAAGGCAGATTCTCCGTCTCCTATCCGAGGTTTCTGCTAAAATTATACTGGTATAGTAACTAAAATTTGTATGAGTAAGGACTTCTTCAGGAGATTTGGCTCAGGTGGCCCATGGATTCCACTTAGGAACAGAAGTAGTGTAAAGAACTATATTAGTCAGTTGAGAAAACTGGGGGAAAAGATATCAAACCATTTTAATTTGTGAATGCTTCTTGACACAGTTGCATAACAGATGTGATTATTATATAAAAAATAACATTATTTTTTAATCTTAACTCAGATGGAGAATTATATACAAGGGATCTGTGAAACTTCTACATGTGCCTTGTCATCTTCTGCTCTGGTAGATAGAGTTACATTTGATCCAAAACAAAAGATAGGTGATTAGAAGCTAAGTCTTTAAAAACTTACTATTAATTGGCTGTGAAAAGAAAACTACTGTAATTTAATAGTTTTTTTTAAATAAATTTATGATAGGAACACTAATTTTGAAGGTATGAGCCTTAAAAATATTTGTATTTAGAACAAATGCAGATTTTTTTTTTAAACCAAAAAATTGACATTTCCCAATCTGTCTTTGATGTGGGCTTCCCTGGCTCAGTGGTAAAGAATCAGCCTGCAATGCAAGAGACCTGGGTTTGACCCCTGGGGTATTTGATCCCTGGGTTGGGAAGATCCCCTGGCGAAGGAAATGGCACTCCACTCCAGTATTCTTGCCTGGGAAATCCCATGGAGCCTAGAAGGCTACAGTCCATGGGCTTGCAAAAGAGTCAGTTAGGACTTAGCAACTAAACATCTTTGATACATTTTTTATTTTCTTTTTATGATGAGGCCAATTAGATGCTAATCCCTAAGGATTCCTCCTATTTAGATTTCAGGCAGTCTTTTTGCAGTGTTCTTTTAAAAAGTCAGTTCTATTGATCCAGAAAACAATGACCTACCTTCTCCATATATAAAAAAGCAGCCATAAATTGTCAAGTGCTCATCTTGGTAAATGTACCAAAACAGATGTATTATCATATAGTTAATCTTTTAATTTTACTTTATTTACAGATTCAAGAATGGCTTTGTTTAAATTGCCAAACCCAGAGAGCAATATCAGGACAGCTGGGAGACATGGGCAAAATGCCACCAACACAGGCAGGACCAAAAGCCTCTGCTATGCCTGTCCCTACAGAGCAGCCATTTCAGGAGACAGCAGTGCCTGCCCCAGTAAAAGTGAAAAAGAAGGAACAGGAAGAAAAACCTGACGCTGAAAAATCCATTTCAGAAAAGGTAAAAGAAACACCTTCAGGTGAAAAAATTCCCCCTAAGGAAACCATAGCTCAAATCCGAGAGGAGAGGAAAGGAGAGAAAGACAAAACTTCAGCCCCTCAAGAAAAAAAGCCACCCCCTGAAGGCAAAAAGCCACCTTCTGAAGACAAAAGGCCACTCCCTGAAGAAAAAAAGCCACCTCTCGAAGAAAAACAACCAACCCTTAAAGAGAAAAAGCCGGCTCTTGAAGACAAAAAGTTAGCCCCAGGAGCAAAATCATTGGTTCTAGAGGAAGAACAGAAACAGGACTTACTTAAAACTCAAGTACAAATTGCTGAAGTAAAACCTGAAGGCAGAGTGCCTCCAGAGGCAAGGGAAGAAAAGAAGCAACCGCCAATGGGGACGGAAGATTTACCAGCCGGCGCACCTCGGCGTTTGCCTAAAGAAGATGATGGGATGACTCAAAAAATAAAAGTACAGCCACAGGCACCATGCATGGCAAAGCCTGATCAGACGGAATCTGGAAAGGAAAAAACAGTAAGTTATGTTTCTTACCTCATTTTGTAGTTTTACACCTGTAATTTACTAATGTCTACCTAAATGTATACCAAATGCTTAATGGTAATTTTGTAAGTAAAAGCTTTCAATTAGTAGCATTTTCAAAAAGAGTCAGTACTATTCAGAAAAAAATACTAACATGAAATCAGTATCCCCCTTTCACACGAAATAATGTCTGTCTTGAAATTTTTATTTACTTAGCCACTTGGTTAAGCAAGACTCAACAAATTTCTTCTCACTTGAAAATCTTTTAAGATGTGTTCAACCATAAAATGATTAAATAATTGTGATATTTTTTTAAAGTACAGCCAAATACAGAAGAAACTTTTTGAAGTTATTTTAGTATTGTGTGAATGCAATATAATGTATTTTGTTCAGAGTTTTATTCAGTTTGTTTAATATTGAAGGTTTATTTATAATCCAAGCATAATCTGGAATATGTATTATTCTTTATATATTCTTTTTTGTTTTCTTTAATGGAAACTTTTAAAGGTTAATAGTCCATCCTAACCCAGTTTAGTTGTTGTTTTGTTTATAGTTTTAACACATGGTTACTCATTCATCTCTGGTATATGACATCACTCATAAAATAAATCCTGGTCTTCCTTTATTATTAATTCCTAAGTTTATCAGAGATAGAGAAAACAGATGCCTGTGTATTCTCATTCTAGATCTAACTCCCCCCACCCCCACCCACTGTTCTCCTAGCTAACTACTTTGCAGAAATAGATTCTTTTTACTATTTCTTTTTTTGTGAAGCTGTCCTTGGCTTTCCTGACTCTTCCCTTTTTATTCTCTTTTTGTCTTTCTGATCACGCTTTATGAGTTCTACTTTGACTATATCTCTTTAATTCATAAGTTTATCAGAGATAGAGAAAACAGATGCCTATGTATTCTCATTCTAGATCTAACTCCCCTCACCCCCACCCACTGTTCTCATAGCTAACTACTTTGCAGAAATAGATTCTTTTTACTATTTCTTTTTTTGTGAAGCTGTCCTTGGCTTTCCTGACTCTTCCCTTTTTGTTCTCTTTTTGTCTTTCTGATCACGCTTTATGAGTTCTACTTTGACTATATCTCTGACTTTCTCTTTTCCCATCTCTATGTGATGAGGTTTTTCTTTGAATTCTGTCTTTCCTCTCAGGGGAGCCACATGAACATTTATTTCCTATCCCCTAAATCTTGTTGTGTACCATCTGTCTCTCTTGAGTGTTGGACCTGCATTTTCAAGTACTGAGTAGATCATTTCACTTCAGAAACTCATTGTGAAGTGAACTCAGTGTGTTCAAATCACATCCAACTCTCTGTAGAAGCAGTTTCTGTTTCTGATAATGGCTTCATCATTCATCATGTCTTTAGTCTCCCAGTCGCGAATCTTTAGGGTAGTCTGAGGTTTCTTCTTACACACTGGGCTCTCCACATCACACTTCTGTCTCTTAGCTCCTATTCCTAAGGACAATATCCTACTTATGGCCTTCATAATCTTATATCAGTGATTTGAGGAATATAATTACTAGTCAATAGGCCTTCTATTTTTCCTTTCTCTAGTATATAATTATCAAATAATTATTTTCCAGAGTTCAGACAGTATAACTCTGTCACTCAGACATTTCTAATGATTCTCTATTCAGTTTTAATTTAAATAAGAATTATCCAAATATTTTGTGGATGCTACTTTTTATTTTACAAATTTATCACTTTTAATCATCTCTACTTTTCTTTAACAACCTCAGTTTGTGTATACTTATTCCTAAATTAAACCTGTGCACTATATTTTCAATATAGATATTCACAAAAATATAAAAAATCAGTGAAATAAGCTAAATCACCATTTTTATTATGTTTATTTAAATATAGATACACTTGATCATAGTGAAGTATAATTAAAATAATATTTTAGAGAATGTTGACTGTGCTTTGATCTTTGAAAATCTTGTAAAATGTTTTAATAAGAGTTCTTTGAAATTCAGCTTCTAAGTTGTTTATTTTGATATTTTGACATTTAGTCTTAATGACTTTCTAAAATAAAAAAGATAGTCCACAGAATATATCAGAAATGAAAGAAATGTATTAAAGACAGTACTTTCCAAATCTTGCTACCTGTTTTCTAGGTTTGGAATTGAAAACTACTTTTTAAATTTGTGGAATTTCTATAAATAAATGTTAACCTAACTTGATACCAGTCATTTATTCCTGTTATCACAAAATGTGGTGTTTTAAAATGTTTTTTTTTTTTAGCAAACAGGTTGAAAACCCACTGGTGTTCTTTATCTACAAAGTTTATAAACAGATTAAATTATTCTGTCTAAAGTTTGTTTGAAAAGGCAAACATGACAACTTTTTAAAATGATATGTCATTTTATCTAGCATAATCACATGATGTTTTTCCAGTTATCTATCTTCAAAGGATTGTGTACACATCATAATTCTCTTGAAGAGACAGTTTGTGTTTATTTTTCCCCATATACTTTCTAGTTATCATACTGATAATCAGAGTTTACTTTCTTCCTAAATATATATAATGTATAATATGTAGCATATTACTAATCACCATTTGTCATCACCAAAACATTCAACCACTAGGGGGTTCTTCTACTTTTGTAAAAAAAAAAATTAAATCTTCACAAACTTTTTAAATTAATTTCTCATGAGGTAATCAGCAAACCTCTATGGATAGAATAAATTCTTAGTTATTCTTTACCTAAGTACAAAATATTAAAGATATTCAAAAGATAAAGGTCTCATTACAATATGTCCACATCTGTAAAATCCTGAGGTATTCTGCAATACTGTCTTACTTGTAAAAGATGCAGTAAATGAATTTTGTATGTACTGCTATCTCTGTAGCCTTATCCTTTTTTTTTGTAAATTAATTAATTTATTTTAATTGGAGGCTAATTACTTTACAGTATTATAGTGGTTTTTGCCATACATTCACATGAATCAGCCATGGGTGTACATGTGTCCCCTATCCTGAACTTAAAAAATAATTCTAGAGTAGCAATGAAACATACATTACTATATGTAAAATAGATAACCAGTGGAAATTTGCTATGTGACACAGGTAGCTCAACCCAGTTCTCTGTGACAACCTAGAGGGCTGGGATGGAGCAGGAGGTGAGAGGGAGGTCAAGATAGAGAGGACACGTGTGTAGCTATGGCTAACTCATGTTGATTTATGGCAGAAACCAACACAATGTTGTAGAGCAATTATCCTCCACTTAAAATAAATTAATTAATAATAATAATTCCAATCAAAAGAACCACTCCTCAGAATTTGACATACAGTTTTTTTCATTAATATAGATACACCTTTTAAAACAAATCACTCAGTATTGAACCACTTAGTAGCTCACAGTAGTAATATTTTACTATTGAAACAAAAATAATGAATATTATAAACTGAGCATGTTAGAAACATCTGCACTTTGATTTTATTGCCAAACCTTTTGCTATTTACTTTGTCCTAATGATTTTCCCCAAACCTTCCACACACAGTTATTTCTTTCTTCTTTGCAATGATACTGGTTAACAAAGAAATGCAGTTTGATTTGTCACCATATTATTTTCTACGTATTACTTCAGCCATATTTCCATGGCAGAAAAACCAAGTTTTCCCAAGTGTTACATGATTTTTTTGTCTTTTCCTATTCAATAAGACAGCAGCTCAAAAGGAGATCTTAAGTGTTTATTTCAACTTGTTTAGTATTTGTTAAGTACTGGAATGTTTATCTGCCAAAAATATTAGAAGTCTGTGATAGTGTTATAGTATCACTTGCTATAATTAGCCAGCACATGATATGTTGAAGCAAGGTTTGTTAATAGCAATAACATATGCAATATAGATATCAAATAATTTTCCTAGTTATGGCACATTTTGTACTAACTGTGTGTCAGATCTAATTTAACTTGATCATCACAGCTTTTACCTTGACATGTTGCTGATGAAAAACTGATAACATTATGAAGAGTGTCAGCTTCTTCATAAATATGCTTGTGTGTTTCTAATGTTATTAACATTATCTTTAACACATGATTTTTTGTGAGAATATCTTGTCTACCACTTACCTATTACAGGAACATTGGTTTGCTTGAAATTAGGTAATAGAAACCACAACTGAGCCATAAGCTTCAATTTAAAGGTGAGCAAATAAAGTAACTGCCTTGCTATGAATTTTTACAGTATAACTCCCAGTTTTCTCCCAGGATTCTTCAGAGAACATATGAGAAATCAAAGAATGCTGGTGTCAATCTATTTATTAAAATTTGTAAAATGTGATTTCTATTTGGGATTTAAAAAGACACTAAAAATTCTACATATTTATTTCCTAAAAGTATTTACATTTTGCATACCTGGCCTCAACTGAGAACTTCTCCCTAAATACTTAAGTTGGCTTTCCCAGCCCTCTGGACTATGGCTTCACAATAACTTGCAAGCAACCTAGTATTTCCCCATCAATGAGAGGCAGAAAACCAGCCAAGAATGCCTCTGTGTGAATCCCAAAGTGGCTTGTGCCATCTTCCTTCTGAACCTGGACTCAGTTTATCTCTGTGCACTAGTGCTGTTTTCCTGTCAGAAAAATCCCACTCGGACCTCTCCCTTATGGCAGTCGCTTCTACTGTTCAAATACTCTATAATGATTACTTTTAAATTGCTTTTTATTTTAAATCATAATAATAGTTTATCTCTCACTATGTTCTGAGCACTGTGTTAGGTGCCTTATCACTTAGAGCACATAACTATTGATAAGTTAAATATTTTATCTGTTTTAAAGAGGAGGAAACTTAATTTGTTATGCCCAAGATCACAAGGCTGAGAAGCAGCAAAGCTAAGATTATAGTCCACTTCTGCTTATAAAGGCTGGGCTCCTAAATACTATACATAATGCTGCCTCCCCATGACACTTCTAGCACACTACCTTTTCATTAATATAATTATTCAACTCCCTTAGCAATTCCCACTCTAATCCCAGGCACTTTGTATATTTTTTTACTTTGTTTATATGTTGACATTATTTTATTTATTCATTTGTCATGTGCATCATTCATATTGTTACAGTATGTTGTTTGCATTTCTTTATTGCCACATCATTTTGTCTCTCCACTCATTCCTGTCTTTCAAAATGTGTTAGTCAAATGGAATTAAAATGTATCCTGAAATATAATAAATACTTTTAAAGGTGTATTCTTCTTTGTTTTTTTAGTTTAATATTTAAAAATTATATGTTACACTGAAACAGAATACTGCTTGTCTGCATTTGATATATTACATTGAAAACATAGCTCTCTTGATTTAAAAAAAGACAAAATTTGAACATCCTTTAGCATAAACTTTTATTTCTAGTTAAAATGATCCAGTAGTTAGTATTTATGTATAGCCATGATATATAAATTCAGCATCATTGTATAGGAGGGAAAATGATGAGGTTTTCTGCAGTGAAAAGGATTCCCATGTATGTGGGACTATCCAATTTTCTCTCCAAGTCCAGTAAATTTGTGGATTTAATCTGTTTACACTGTTCAGAATATTCAGACTAGCAATCTTTTGACCAAACATTGTATAACTGATTAAAGGTTATTAATCTGTTGTTTTCCTTTGGCCTGTTAAACTTAAATAACTTGGAGGACATTAAGCAAAAACTTAATATTGCTACCTTTCTTTGTACAGTCTTATATTTAACCAAGAATTCAGTTCATAACTCCAGTAAGTTTTTTTTTAAAAAAAAAAAAACCTTCCATTTGCCTTCAACATGGAAGCCTAAGAGTTTAACATCTCTGAAAAAGGCAGGACTAAGTTTGGCAGTACAAAAATGTCTTGATAATAGAGAAGGCCTCAAGATAGGATGGCATGAGAAGGTTTCAAGTGATTCTTAATTCATCACTGCCTCTCTCTGACCAGTCTTCAAGTCAATAAAGGGCAATGGAATATTGAAAGGAAAAGTATTCTGCACTTTCTGCTTTGAGTTAGTAAGAAAATATGAATCTTCATTTCTTAAAATTTTGAATAGTTGTTTCATATACAAAGACTACAAAGTACAGAATTTTATACATGGAGAAAAAGTGCAACATATACAAAAAAATAAAAGTCAGTGAAATAGAGTCTAATGCTAAATGTACTTAGAAAAATACAGTGAAAATGTGTTCCTCAGGGAACTGAAAAATAACATTGCACTTTTCTTTTAACAAGTGTGCTTAAATTATGAATACTTAACTTCCCACTCACTTCCTCAATCTAAGATTGAGGACTTTAAAGGGACTATACCTGGAATTTTATTCTTATGTAATAATTTTAGAGGTCATTCTGGACTGTATTTGCATTGCATGTAATAAATTAAAGGCATAAATTCCAACTCCTATCAATTCAAATGACAAAAATAATGAGTAAATAAGAGAACTCAGGGATATTTAAACACATATGTACATATGTGTTATATATGTAATCTATGCATATACTTTAGAATCATTTGAATCTATTCATTTTATTGAATCTTAATATGTTACTAAATAGCTTAATGTTCTCAGTAGAAAATATACAGCCACACATTTTTGAAGCAACTAAAGGAAAACTCCCAATTTTTTAGTCCTAGGGAATTAGAACTTTGAAAGAAAATAAGCCTCCATTGCATGACTCCTTTCATCACAGTCTTCTGGAGTTACAGTACTTCAAATATTAATTTAAAGTTTGAATAATTAGAGAAAATCAGACCAAACTTACACACTATGCTGTATATTCTTCTCTTAGTACTGGATACTCTTTCTTTTTTGATCAAATTATTCCCTCCTTAAGAAATGTACTCATAAAGCAAGAGTTTGTGGTGTTAAATCTGTAATTGACCAGTTAACCTGCATGGATACAAATTGCACTAGAACTTTAACCCAGATATCTCACAAACAAGAGTGAATAGCCACAGAAAGGATAAGTGGATAGAGAGATAAGCACCTCATTATGCTGATCTCTGTATGTGAAGAACTTTTTTATTGTTTTAGTAGCAGCAGATGAAAAGAGGAATGTACAGGTTTCTTAAAGAGGCGAAGGGGTTAGTTGGTGTGTGATCTGATAGTACGCTAATAGTGATGGAGCAGAAGGTCACTCACCTCTGCCAGGGAGTTCACACTTACGCTAGTTGTATGAGAGAAATTGACACTGTGAGTTTTTTCAGTGATCATGGTATAAGTACATGACCAATTGTTCCTGCTAAACAATTCAGCCAAATGCCCTTTGATCAGTTAACTTGATTTACTTATTAAACACTCCAGACACTTTATCTTAGACCCACAGTCCTGTAGAACAAGATCTTTGCAGACCTGTTCCACCTTATAATATGGAGAGGAAGTCATTTAGGTGAAAAATCATCATAGCATCATCATAGGTAAATGATGATTGAATCTCATGAGGAGTATAGAGGAAAGAAACCAGGAGGGAGAAGTCAGTAGAACATAACACTGAGAAAAGAAGGAAAGCATAAACACATCCAGAAAAGCATATAAGGGGGATTGTAGGGTAGGGATTTTGATATTTATGCATTTGAGTCTTCTGTCTGTGTATCTTAATTTCCTTTGTTATGTTGTGTATGTCTGATCCAAATCTTATTTTTGTAAAATGCCAATAGAGCCTTCAGAATTCATTGTATAAAATTAAAATTTATTCTTTATTATACTCAATAAATTGTTATATATAACCATAGTTGCATTTCCTCCTTATATGTATACTTTTATTACATTGTTATGTATTGTAATATGTGTAGACTCACAATAAAGAACACAAATTATACCATCAAAATTTTATTATGAAGGATCATTTTCTTGACCTGTTTTTCACAAGGAGCTTAGGTCCCCACCCCTGTGGTTATGGTATTTAGTGAAAGGTGGAAATATAGGAAAGTAAAGATGTAGAAAGCATACTGGACTCAAAATGTTGTGCTCTGGTATTGTGTGAGATGTGAGCAGTCACAGTGGAGATCCCTAGAAAAACCATCTAGAAAGTTTATGAGAACACTGTTTCACCTGTGATTACCTCTTCAATTTATAGCTCTTAAGAGAAATGAACCAGGTAGTTGGGTGCTTGTCAACCCAACTACTATGATCTCACAATGGCAGATAAGTATTCCTTTTTTAGAAAGACATCAAGAATGGTCCAGGAAAGTTAATTTGTAGTAATCCAAAGGGCAGGCATTGTTTTTTGCTTACATGTTGTGAAGAATGTATCAGACTCTTTTTTAATCATTATGTTTTAAATTCTGCAAAAATATTTTACCCTATAATGTGCTCAAGATATATCTTTATCCATAAAGACAGATATTGAAATGGAAATGAATGTAAAATGAGTAGAGTAATGTGAATGAAGGTAAAATTTCAAGTATTTTCAAGTCTGTAGACATTTATAAGTGATATTTATTAAATTTCTTTGAGATGGGATGCTGAAGACGTGATCTAATAACTCTAGAAAAATAACAGATATTTCTCTTTAGCTGAAGCTTTCAGCCAGACCAATGATCACATAGCTTTTTCAAATTTTACAATTTCTAAACATTCATTTCAAGTGATACAGAGCTTAACAATTGTGATATAGGGATTAGCAATAGTGATATAGAGATTAACAATCATACTAAGTGAAATATAGCATTTTACATCTTTCAGAGTGTCTTTAAAAGGCACTTGTTTGACCTCTCTCTCTCTCAAAAAAAAAAGAATCCTTTGCAGTAGGTGAGATGAATATTATTATGGTCATGTTACCTGCTTATTTCTGTTAAGTAAATATATCCCATACAGTTTATAGCCAAGTACAAAGGCCATTCTCTGATTCTTTGTTTGCCTATCCTAATAATCCAAAAGTATTAATTAGTTAAGAGAAACTTACTAAAGATTTTCTTTGGCCATTTGACTTCTTACCCAAAGTAAATACTGAGAAAGATAATCATGTTTTTGAAGGAAAATGGTTTTGAGATATAAAATGATACTTCAATGAAATAAAATCAGTTGTGCTTGAGAACTGACATTTGATTAAACTTAATTAAATGAAAACTAATCTTAATATGTATCAACTATTTTTATTTTTTGTGCTGATAGATTTTTAAAAATACTATTATATAGTTGAAAAATTCCTATAATTTCTCCTTAGTAATAGTTATTTGACAGTAATGGGGAGGCTGTGTTATCAGTTTACCCATGTTAAGTTTTCCTGTATCTTTTCCTCCCTGCTAGGAAAAGGAAGATGACAAATCAGACACTTCAAGTTCTCAGCAACCGAAAAGCCCACAAGGTCTTAGTGACACAGGATATTCTTCTGATGGAATATCAAGTTCACTTGGTGAAATTCCAAGTCTTATTCCCGGTGATGAAAAGGATTTGCTCAAGGGACTCAAAAAGGATTCCTTTTCACAAGAAAGCAGCCCTTCCAGCCCCTCAGATTTGGCTAAGTTAGAAAGTACAGTCCTATCTATTTTAGAAGCTCAGGCAAGTACACTTGTTGAAGAAAAGTCAGAAAAGAAAACACAGCCCCATGAGGTTTCTCCTGAGCAGCCTAAGGACCAGCAGAAAACTCAGAGTTTAGAGGAAAAACTGGAATCTACAGTCCCAGAAGAGGAGCTCAAAGAGAGTCGAGAAGAAGGAGACAGTTTTAAAAAAGAGAGCCAACAAGACCTTCCTTCCAGAAAGGACCAAGAAAAGCCTGAATTTGTTGACGAGTTGGCTACAAGGAGACAGCCTTATGATTCAATTGAAGACAGTAGTGAAAGCGAAAACTCACCTGTTCCACAGAGAAAAGGGAGGCCTAGTGTTGGTTCATCAAGCAGTGATGAGTATAAACAGGAAGACAGCCAAGGATCAGGTGAAGAGGAGGACTTCATTCGAAAGCAAATCATAGAAATGAGTGCTGATGAAGATGCTTCAGATTCTGAAGACGATGAGTTCATTAGGAACCAGCTCAAAGAGATTAGCAGTAGTATAGAAAGCCAGAAGAAGGAAGAAGCCAGAGGGAAGGGGAAAGGACCAGGAGGGAAACACAGGCGACTGACGCGAAAAAGTAGTGCAAGCTTTGATGACGATGCAGGAAGACGCCATTCCTGGCATGATGAAGATGATGAGACCTTTGATGAAAGTCCTGAGCTTAAATACAGAGAAACTAAAAGTCAGGAGAGTGAAGAACTTGTAGTTGCCGGAGGAGGAGGACTCCGTCGATTTAAAACAATTGAACTCAACAGCACGATAGCAGATAAATATTCTACAGAGCCATCACAGAAAAAAACAGCTTTGTATTTTGATGACGAGCCAGAATTAGAAATGGAAAGCCTGACAGACTCTCCAGAAGATCGATCAAGGGGGGAAGGGTCTTCTAGTCTTCATGCTTCCAGCTTCACTCCTGGCACATCCCCTACATCCGTTTCTTCTCTGGACGAAGACAGTGATAGTAGTCCAAGTCACAAAAAAGGAGAAAGCAAACAGCAACGCAAAGCTCGACATAGATCACACGGCCCTCTTTTACCTACCATTGAAGATTCTTCAGAGGAAGAAGAATTGAGAGAAGAAGAAGAATTATTAAAGGAGCAAGAAAAGCAACGGGAATTAGAACAGCAGCAAAGAAAGAGTTCTAGTAAGAAATCAAAGAAAGACAAAGATGAACTTCGAGCTCAGAGAAGGAGGGAAAGACCAAAGACACCACCCAGTAATCTCTCTCCCATCGAAGACGCATCTCCAACAGAAGAATTACGCCAGGCTGCAGAAATGGAGGAGCTCCATCGATCTTCGTGTTCTGAATATTCACCTAGCATAGAGTCAGACCCAGAAGGCTTTGAAATAAGCCCAGAAAAAATAATCGAAGTACAAAAAGTTTATAAATTGCCCACAGCTGTGTCTTTATACTCACCGACAGATGAGCAATCTCTTATGCAGAAAGAAGGTGGCCAAAAGGCATTAAAAAGTGCTGAGGAGATGTATGAAGAAATGATGCATAAAACCCAGAAATATAAAGCTTTTCCAGCTGCAAATGAACGAGACGAAATGTTTGAAAAAGAGCCTTTGTATGGGGGGATGCTAATAGAAGATTATATTTATGAATCTTTAGTAGAAGACACATACAATGGTTCAGTTGACAGCAGTCTGCTCACGAGGCAAGAAGAAGAAAATGGATTTTTGCAGCAGAGAGGGAGAGAGCAAAAAATGAGACTTCCAGAACAGATTTATGAAGATCCCATGCAGAAAATTACAGACCTCCAGAAAGAGTTTTATGAGTTAGAAAATTTACATGCTGTTTTGCCTCAAGAAGACATCGTTTCAAGTTCTTTTATCATCCCAGAAAGCCATGAGATTGTTGATCTGGGTAGTATGGTAACTTCAACCAGTGAGGAAAAAAAATTATTAGATGCTGATGCTGCCTATGAAGAACTCATCAAAAGGCAACAGATGCAGTTAACACCTGGATCTAGTCCAACCCAGCCCCTCATCAGAGACGATATGACAGAGTCCACTGTGGACTTTGATAGGGTGCCTGATGCATCTTTGACATCAAGTGTTCTCTCGGGAGCATCTCTTACAGATTCAACCAGCAGCACAACACTCTCCATCCCAGATGTTAAAATAACCCAACATTTTTCAACAGACGAAATTGAGGATGAATATGTGACTGATTATACAAGAGAAATTCAAGAGATAATTGCTCATGAATCACTGATTTTGACCTATTCTGAACCTTCAGAAAGTGCTACATCAGTCCCACCCTCTGACACACCCTCTCTCACATCATCTGTTTCTTCAGTTTGTACCACAGATAGCTCCTCACCCATTACTACCCTGGATAGCATGACCACAGTTTATACGGAGCCAGTGGACATTGTAGCTAAATTTGAAGATGCTGAGGAAATTTCTTCATCAACATATTTCCCAGGCAGCATTATAGACTATCCAGAAGACATAAGTATACCTTTAGATCAGACAACCATACAGGATGGTAGAACTAGTACAGATCACATTGTGATTTCCTTATCTGATATAAAACCTTCTCTCATAGAATCTGTAGGAACTAAACTTGAGGGGCTAATTGCTGACACTGTTTCTACTGACTTATCTATATCTGAAAAAGATGCAGCAAAGAAGGCCAGAAAGGAAACAGGGGATGGACTTATTCTGGAAGTTTTGGAAGCTTATAGAGATACTAGGAAGGAGTCTGAGGCTGAACTGACAGAAATTAGCTTACCTGACACTGTGTTTGATCAGACACCTTCTTCCGTAAAAACCCTTCCAATGAAGGAGCAGGTTTCAACAACATGCTTTTTACCTGAAGAGGTTTTGGGTCAAGCAAAACCCACATCTCAGCTACCATCTGGCACTCCTCCTGTTTTCTCTCTTCCAACTAAAACTCGTCCATTCCTTCGAAGTTCTTCTTTGGACACATCAGCCCAGCCCAATGGCCAATTTTTAACCCCTCCTCCCCCTCCACCACCTCTTCCTCCTCCTACCTCACCTAAACCAACTATTCATCCTAAAAAAAAGTTAACGGTTACAGCTCCAGTGACTGCAGCTACATCTCTAGTAGATTCTGTTCCCACAGTGGAGACCACATCTGCTCCCAGAAGTAATGGGTTACCTATGACAAAAATATATACCACTGCACCTCCTCCTGTTCCTCCTAAGCCATCCTTAATTCCATCTGGACTTGTATTTACACATAGACCCGAGCCAAGCAAACCTCCACTTGCTCCTAAACCAGCAGTTCCTCAACCTCCAGTCACTACCCCAAAACCAACAGATACATACCCCAAACCAACAGGTCTACCTTTAACTACAAGTATGACATTAAATTTAGTGACATCAGCAGACTATAAATTGCCTTCCCCTACCTCTCCACTTTCCCCTCAATCTAACAAGTCCTCGCCAAGATTTTCCAAGTCTCTTATGGAAACTTATGTGGTTATCACATTGCCATCTGAACCTGGCACTCCAACAGATGCTTCACCTAGTCAAGCTATTACCAGTTGGCCGTTGGGATCACCCCCCAAAGATCTGATTTCCATCGAACCAGTATTTTCTGTAGTTCCTCCTATGACAGCTGCAGAAATATCAACTTCTTCACAACAGAGCCTATACATCTCCAGAGCTTTGGAGACATTTGCTGCTATCCCAGTCACAACACTGTCTTCATTTCAAGCAACTTCAGCTTCAGTTACACAGTTTCACCCAACTGAAGTTTCCAAGGCTGAAGTTCCAACAGCAAGAAGTACAGTCCCTAGTGTTGGTCTCAGCAGTGTCTCTATATCCTTTCCTCCAGAGCCTCTTGCTCTAGATCACCTCCGTTTAGAGAAGCAGCAGCATAAAGAAGATGTCCAGTTGCAACTTGTTGGTGATGCCATTGATCTGCGTACAGTACCCAAAGTAGATGTTAAAGTAACTGAAAAATGTATGGATCTTTCTGCCTCTGCAGTGGATGTGAAGAGGCAGACCACAACAAGTGAAATGTATGGGAGACAAATTAGTGCTGTCCAGCCCTCAATTATAAATCTCAGTGCAACTTCATCAGGAGTGACTCCTACACCCCTGGTCACCGAGACAGTGACTGTTGTCACATGCACAGCTACTGCAAGTTACACTACAGGCACAGAAAGCCTAGTGGGTCCAGAACTTGCAGCAGCAGCACCACTCCAGCTTACTACATCAAAGCATGTGGAGCCACCACACAGAGTGCCAAGTGGCCAGATCTTTCCTACAATTAGGGAGGAAGCACCAATAAATTTATCTTTAAGTACTTCTGCACATGCCGTGACATCAGCTCCTACAAAACCTGTTACTGCACCTCCTGTTGGTGTCACAAATGGATGGACTGATAGCTCCACATCCCAGAGCATCACTGATGGGGAAGTGGTGGATCTCAGTACCTCCAAAGCTCATAAAACTGTTGTAACAATGGATGAAGCTTCTTCAAATGTGGTGACTAAAATAATAGAAGATGATGAAAAACCTGTTGATCTGACTGCCGGAAGAAGAGCCGTGTGCTGTGATGTGGTTTATAAGTTACCCTTTGGAAGAAGCTGCACGGCACAGCAGCCTGCAACCAGTCTTCCTGAGGATCGTTTTGGTTATAGGGATGATCACTATCAATATGATCGATCAGGGCCATATGGTTATAGAGGGATTGGGGGAATGAAACCTTCCATGTCTGACACTAATTTAGCAGAAGCTGGACATTTTTTCTATAAAAGTAAGAACGCTTTTGATTATTCTGGAGGAACTGATGCAGCAGTAGATCTTACTTCAGGGAGAATTACTACAGGTCAGTATGATGTAGCAACAGACCTTTCCTTGAAATATCATGGTGTTCCTCATCTCATTTCAGGATGACAATGTGGTCTTATTTTCAGTTTTGTTATTTTTTTACCTTTCTTTGGATGTTTTGGCAATATATTTTGGAGTACATGTGCACTTTTGTTTCTCCATTTTTTAAAAAAATTTGTTCCACCCAAAGTCGCCTGCATGTGCCTGCATGTTCAACATTGCTTTTATTCTGCACCTGAATAGGTTGATAACCTGCATGCAGTCCTGTTCATTATGTTCTTCAAGACTGAGAGGGCTTTCCAACCCCAAAAGCATCATTCGTTCTAGGAACTGGACTATAACTCTCCCCTGTATTTCAGGTGAGGTAATGGATTATTCAAGCAAGACTACAGGTCCATATCCAGAAACTCGACAAGTCATTTCAGGAGTTGGGATTAGTACCCCGCAGTATTCCACAGCAAGAATGACTCCACCTCCAGGACCCCAGTATGGTGTGGGGAGCGTTTTGAGGTCATCTAATGGGGTTGTCTATTCTTCAGTAGCAACTCCAATTCCTTCCACGTTTGCTATCACCACACAGCCTGGCTCCATTTTCAGCACCACCATGAGGGATTTGTCTGGTGTGCACACAAATGACGCCGTGACTTCCTTATCCTCCCTGCACCAAAGTCAGCCCATGCCTAGATCCTATTTCCTAACAACTGGTGCATCCGAAACAGACATTGAAGTCACTGGTATTGATATCAGTGCCAGTTTGCAGACTATCACTATGGAGACTCTCACGGCTGAGACAATGGACTCGGTTCCCACCCTGACCACAGCGTCTGAAGTATTTCCCGAGGTGGTGGGAGAGGAAAGTGCGCTTTTAATCATCCCCGAGGAAGATAAGCAACAACAGCAGCTAGATTTGGAGCGTGAGCTCTTGGAACTGGAAAAGATCAAGCAACAGCGTTTTGCTGAGGAGTTGGAGTGGGAACGGCAGGAGATTCAAAGGTTCCGAGAACAGGAAAAGATCATGGTTCAGAAGAAGCTGGAGGAGCTGCAGTCAATGAAGCAGCACCTCCTCTACCAGCAGGAGGAGGAGCGGCAAGCCCAGTTCATGATGAGGCAGGAGACACTAGCGCAACAACAGTTGCAGCTGGAACAGATCCAGCAGCTGCAGCAACAGCTTCACCAGCAGCTGGAGGAGCAGAAGATCCGCCAGGTCTACCAGTATAACTATGACCCTTCCGGAACTGCCTCTCCACAGACTACTGCAGAGCAGGCCATCCTGGAAGGTCAGTATGTTGCCCCAGAAGGTGGTCAGTTCTGGGCAACCGAAGATGCAACCACCACGGCCTCAGCTGTGGTGGCGATTGAAATACCACAGAGCCAGGGATGGTACACGGTTCAGTCTGACGGGGTGACTCAGTACATTGCCCCACCTGGCATTCTGAGTACTGTTTCAGAAATACCTCTGACAGATGTAATCGTCAAAGAGGAGAAACAACCCAAGAAGAGAAGTTCTGGAGCTAAAGTCCGCGGCCAGTACGACGAGATGGGGGATAATCTGGCAGATGACTCCCGCTGCTTTAAAAAGATAGTGGACAGTGGGGTACAGACTGACGATGAAGATTCAGCAGATCGGAGTTACGTGAGTAGGAGAAGGAGAACTAAAAAGAGTGTCGATACGAGTGTCCAAACGGATGACGAAGATCAGGATGAATGGGACATGCCTGCTAGATCTAGGAGGAAAGCTCGCGTAGGGAAATACGGCGACAGCCCTGCAGAGGCGGACAAGGCCAAACCCCCTTCCAAAGTCTCCAGCATAGCCGTACAAACAGTAGCAGAGATATCTGTGCAAACTGAACCAGTCGGAACCATAAGAACACCTTCGATACGGGCACGCGTGGATGCCAAGGTAGAAATAATTAAACACATTTCAGCACCTGAAAAGACTTACAAAGGGGGCAGTTTAGGATGTCAAACAGAAGCAGATTCAGACACACAGAGTCCTCAATATCTGAGTGCCACCTCTCCACCCAAAGACAAGAAACGCCCAACACCTTTAGAAATTGGTTATTCATCTCACCTCCGGGCAGATTCCACACTACAGCTGGCTCCTTCCCCACCCAAATCTCCAAAAGTCCTTTATTCTCCCATCTCACCACTTTCACCAGGCAAAGCCTTAGAATCAGCCTTTGTACCTTATGAGAAACCCCTCCCTGATGATATAAGTCCACAGAAAGTACTGCATCCAGATATGGCTAAAGTTCCCCCAGCAAGTCCTAAGACAGCCAAGATGATGCAGCGCTCCATGTCTGACCCCAAGCCTCTGAGTCCAACAGCAGACGAAAGTTCCAGGGCTCCTTTTCAGTATACCGAGGGCTACACGGTAAGAGTGCTTCTTTTCAGTTAGAAGACAATGGCTGAGTTGATGTTAACTGTGTGTTTGCAGACTTTAGGAGGCCATTGACACTACTGGTGCCTAATTCTAAATTTCAGTGAGGACTATTTCATTCGAAAATTTGGCCGGGGTGGGGGTGGGGGGTGGTGGAGAGGTGGGGAAGCAGAAAAGTGTGCATCCATGTAGAAATACAAAGAAAAAAAAAGACAAAATAAGAAAAGTGTAGGCTGATTTCAGTGAATATAACTAATACTCACATATGGTAGAATAAGTATTGAACATAAATAGATAAGGCAAAGGATGACCAAAAATTTAAACCCATGGATACTGGAATTCTTAGTGGGAGGATCCTTGAAGATCATTTAATCAATCTATTCTTCCTTCTGCCAGAATGTTAATCTTTGCTGCTCAAAATAAAGCATTTCTAGGGCATAAAGTATAATTTAATCTTCATAGTTCATCCATACTTATTTTGTTTCTGGCAATTTCCTGAATCTAATGTCAAGTAAGCCTTAATCTTAGTGCCTACAGAAGAAAAATTAATGTTTTTATGTTTCTTCAAATAGGTTTAATTGATAATTATTTTAAGTTTAATAATTTGAGTTTATTTAAAATATGCTTCAAAGTGAAAGGTGCATATATAGGAATGTTAGACATATTTGTGAAGATCTCTATACCGGGGAATAAGAAATGTTAATAATCAGGTAAAAAAGCAGGTTATCTACTTCAAGAAAACCTAATATATATCATTAGAAGGTTATTGATAAATTAATAGTTCTATTTAAAACAAGATTTATGTTTATATTAAAAGTTCCCGTAATTACACTGATTTCTGAACTGTAGATCTTAAAACCCTGAAGCTTTTAAATAGGTTTTTCTGAGAAATTACTCTATTGCAACTGACCCAAATGTGTTAAACACTGGCTGTGGGCTGAAAAACGTGCCATTGTATGTAAATGTAAGCCAATTTTTAGGTATATAGGCATATTAATAGTCATACTAATAAATTAAAATCCTTATTTAAGTGTTCCAGTTTCGTAGGGGCATTTTGTTATTATGTACTTTCTCAAAAAGGGTGTATAAACTGTCTTCACATGGGGGATAGAGGGCATAACTTTTTTTTTTTTAATTTATTTATCATAACTTGTAAGTCAGGGAAACACTGCTACATTTAGATTTCATTCAGTTTTTGTGTATGGCTTTGTTTCTAGAATTATATATATTGTTAGAAATATTTTTAACTTAGTTGTAATGTATAGGTATTTATTTTTACTGCAGCGACCTATGAATTCACCTAAAGAGTTATCTAGAAATATTTGAAAATACATTTTTTAGCAGTATTTTAAAGTTGAACTCAAGACTTCTGTCACAGAGAGAACAGCCTTCCCCATGTGGTGTATTGACCACTAATTTAACATTTCACCTTATACTCTTAATTCAAATGAACTCAGGTATAGAAGAGATTCAAGGTGTCAATATTTTTCCTCACAGTATTCTCTTGGGTTTTAGAAGTATGAAATGAAAGATACAGTGGGTTGTATGTATTGTGTTATTGATTGTAATGGTGATATTGTTTAACTATTTAATCCTAGAAGAAGTTGGATAGAACTACCAAATAATACTCTGAGCCTGAAAAATCCTAAATGTATTGAGCTTTGGAACACAATCAGGTAGCTCCTTTTTCTAAGTGGTCACACTCAGTGCAGGCTTTAATATGGAATAATTGTATACAAACTCAAAAACACTGTTTTATTGTATGCATAAGGTAGACCATTTTATATACAGGCAATGTTCTTAGCACTTTAGATACTCTGATTTAAGATGGGAATTTCATAGTTTATTTCTTGGAAAATTTCTAAACATTCCTTGTGTTCATTTTAAACTAAAACCAGTCTCTCAATTATAAACATGAATTACTAAATATTAGTTGTACTGAAAAGAATAATCTAAGTGATATTCATGGTGATGCAAGTTTATTTAGCTCAGTAATTTCCATATTGTTAATTTTCTCAAACCAATAAAATTGAAAAAAAAATTACACCATCCAATCAACATTGAGATGACATAGTAACACATATAATTCAGCATGAAAGATTGGTTTTATACTGCATGAAAGTAAGTAAGTAAGTAAGTAAGTAAGTTCTCTTCCTGGAAGTACCAGGAAAGGTTTCAAGGGAGGAAGTTCTCAAACAGGAAGGTGAGATCTCTGTTGGACCATGAAGAGCAAACTGGAAGTCATTCTAGAGGATACAGATATACAAGGGTTCAGACTGATGAACAGACAGAAAACAAAGAGGAGGAGAAAAGGATTTACTATAAATGAAAGATAAGGAAGGGATAGGTCCCAGAGGATCTAATTTGCTCAGTTCAGGTTTGGCTTTACTTCCCTTGCCTGTGGGAAGCCTTACCCAAGCCACCATCATCTTTTATTTACATTATGCCCTAGGCCCTGGACTCCTCCACTCTTGCCTTCCTTACAGTCTATTCTCTAAACTGCACCTCTAAACTGATTTTCTAAAGTGTACATAAGATTATGTCACACACTCTCCAGTAGATTCTCAGAAATCCGTTAGGGTATATTAGAGATTTCTTAGCAAGGACCCTTGTGATCTGGTCTTTGCCTGTCTCACAGCCTCATCAGTCACTCTCCACATTTACCCCTCCTTCTCACTCTGCTCCAACCACTGACCTTGCTGGTCTTTGGGTGTGCCTCATCCCCACCCAGGGAGCCTGTTCAGAGCTCTCTTTCCCCAGATGGTTGTCTGACTCACTCCTGTGTACAGATTTCGGGTTAAATTTCACTTCCACAGAGAAGTTCTCCTTACTTCAGTCTCTAAATAAACCTATCACCTTGAATTCCTGCACCCTCCAAACATGTATATTAATGTGTTAGTACATATTTAATCAAATATCATCTACTTTACCCCATAGAATATAACCTCTGCAAAAGCAGGAACTTTCGCTATAATCCAAGAGCCTAGAACAGCACCTGACACAAAGCAGGCCTTCAATATTTACTGAATAAATGTATTAGAGGAAGGATTGCATGGAAGCAGTGGGTTAAGACATGCATTAAAAGACTCCAGCTGATTACCTTTTCATTGCCACAGTCTAGACCCATTCTATTAAGTCCTTTTGATAATCTGTACTGATACTTCCTATACTTAAAGTGTTAGTTCCACTTTGTTTTTATATAGCTATTTGCACCACTGAGCACAGGTTAAACAATATTTAGCTATTAGACAGTCCAGATGCCTTACAAATGAGCAACAAGCCCAGGGTAGGCTCGTGCCTGTATCATGATTCCTTAATGAACCTGTAACCTGGCCAGTTAGAATGCTAAACTTGGCACTTCACAGTTATTCTCTGTTTGTCTCTTCTGAGGCTTATGGAACATTTTCTGATTTGGGTGTTTTTGTTTTTTGTTTTTTTTTTTGCTAATTCAGTACCATGCTTTGTGTCTGTCTTTTTTTCTTGTCATTTCCTCTGTTTTCCCCAAAATTCTAATTTAATCCCGTCAATGAGGTTTATTCATTTTTTTAACTTGCTTGCATTCTCTCATTATCACATTCATCCATCCATTGGTTTTTTTTTAAACACTGTGGTAAACTCTATAAACATACAGGATAAGGCAGAGTTCATGCTTGACCTCCCACCACTGCGATCGTTTTGTTCTTGCCCCACTCTTGTATTCATTTGCTAGGGCTCTCGTAACAAAGTACCACAAACTCGGCAAGCTAAGCCACAAAAATGTACTGACACAGTTCTAGAGACTAAAGGTCCAAAATCATGGTGTGAGCAGGGTTTGTTCTTTCTGTTGCAGGCCTCTCTCCTAGCTTCTACTAGCCTCCAGCAGTCCTTGTCTTTCAGAAGATGGTCTCCCTGTGTCTCTTTACCTTGTCTTCCCTCTCTGTATGGCTGTCTCTACATCCAAATTTCCCCTCTTTATCAGACACTGGTCTTATTGATTAGGTCAGCGCTAAAGATCTGTTTTAACTTGATTACCTGTAAATATCTTGTGTCTGAGTGGTTTCACATTCTGAGGTACTAAGGATCAGCACTCCAACAAAGCTTGGTTTTTTTGTTTTGTTTTTTTAACCAATAAGACACATCAAAGCACTATATGGCCCTTTTTGTTTGTTCATAGGCAAATGTGGTCTGTTTTGTGGTTTGTCTGCTTTTGGTCCTCTTTCCATATGCAGTTATTTTTTCTTAGCAGCTATCTCACAAGCTTATGGGAGAGCTTTCATTATTACAAAATTCTTCCATATGAATAAAATCTCTTTTCCTGGAGTTTCCAAACATTTGTCTTAATTCTGAAATTTGGAACATCATAGATTTAAATTTATTCCTTTCCCACTCTGTAGGAATCCAACCATCTGAGATCCTTTAACTGATAGAGTTTTCCATCATGGAATTGTAGTTACACTTTTGACACAGAAATTCCACGCCAGGAGCCTGTGTCATCTGGTTAGTGTTTCACTGGCACTTTGAGTTCACACTTAACCCTGAGATATCTTATACATTTAATTGTTTAGATTAGCAATAATTAACATAAAATCATAAAATAGTACACAGTGGGCCTAACTGGTGCAGGGAGTTATCTGACATCTTTTTATTGTTATGTAATATTCCCTTATGTCTGCAAGAGCTGAACTATATCTCTTTTCCAGACTTTGTCATTTTGATATCAAAGTCACAGCCCCCAAGCTAAATTCTATTTTTGGCAACTTTATATAACCAAACACTTTTATCATGTAGTCTTCTTCCTTTTACAAATATACAATTTTAACTCTGTGTAAAGATGAAAAAAAAAAATTGCCACCTTTTTCCTTGAATTTTTCTGTTTGCTCCCCGGAAAAATTCCCAAAAGATACAACTAAAATATTCAGAAATGTACTCCTTCTCATGGGGTTGAGCTTGCTATTTAGATACCACTTGAAAATAATGTATTTTCATTCTGATTTAGAAAAAGCACAAAAAGAAAT